TATATCTGCAACCGGAATATGTACTATGTGGTCTCCAACGTGGTGAAGCCTTTGACGCGGCCTCGAAAGGTCTCGTACGCTGAGCTGGCGGGATCTTGCTGCCTGCAATGGCCCCTTGGCTGGTCCACAGAGGCAGAGGTCTTTCTAAAGCGATTTAGGGTTTTGGATTTTCTATAAATTTAAAGTTTTGCACTTGAGGGATGGAGATGAGCAGCCAAGGTTCGTAAGCCACTATTGGGGGACACCCTTCTGTCACTTTGTGGGTACCGTGCGAAAGCACGCCGAGACGCTCTCCGATCCTAGCCCAGTCTCATGGATGCTCGCATCCTATTGGATGTGTTCCTTTGCGAACAACCAGTGGCGCGTGGAAGAGGAGGCTTCCTGGCAGTCTAGCCAGAGTCTACTGTAGCCTGTTGCCTCCTGCTTGGGGCGAAGCGGCGAAGCAAGGTATTACTACAACCGCAACATGTCAACCTAAGGTGGAGAACGCTAAATCCTTAGCCCTGTAAGTTGCCAGCCGAGGTTGGCATGAGTTGGGACCAGTCATCCTTCTACCTTGCCTTGCGCAGCGGCACCTGCCAGGGGACGGTGATGGTCTTCGACAATGACGCCTTGCCATTGACAAGGTGGCTTCTGGTGAGCCACATTCCAAGGAAGCAAGAGCTCCCTACAACCTGTCACCACAATAGTTGAATAATTGTATCTTGGGACATAAACCGTCATAAATAACCCCAAACCCCAATCCCGAGTACCCTGGTCAGCAGGATCCTCCGAACTTAAGAAATAATATAACAAAATACAAAAATATTCCAAATATTCCTGTCCATATTCCTTTACTTGCTTAAGAACCCCTAGATCTGCGGTCTGCGGACATCTGACATGTTCCAAGCCAGGTCGTGGTGTTTGTTCGAGCTTCTCCAGACCGCCGAGCTGAGCCGAAACGACTCTCGCTTCCTGGGCCTGCAGATCTGCACGCCCTCTGGGGTCATGATGCTGGGTCGCACGTCGGGACCACTCAAGGATTCTATAGAGTCCAGAGGTTACGGTGCAAGCGTTGGCCGAGTTGGGTTTTTGTTCAGTCTGCGAGGGTGTTCTATTAATCTGGACTGGACTTCGCTCAGGAAATTTATAGGAGTTTCGACATTCTGTGAGAGTCCGGGTCCTTGACAGCGACGAGGACAACTGCTAATAATGGCTGCTCGTAGTATTTGACTGCTTCTTGTCTTGCTGCTGCTCCGCATGCTGGTGCTGGTGCTGCTGGCATTGCTCGTGGGGATGATCGTCAGTCTGATGGGGCTGGGTGACGTCGATGATGCTCATTTTCGGTGGCTCATTTCACCTGCTTGTGAGTGCATGCGCCACTGGCTAATCACAGATGATGGTGCCTGTGGTCATACAAACATGTTTGCATGTGTCATGATCTCGTAGTCTTTTCCATCTAATTGTAACAGACATGTCGTGCATCGCAGTCGTCGTCGTTGCCGACAGGCGGGTGCATTGTTTTCCTCGGTGTCCATTCGCTGCTTCCATTGGATTTCTGAGTATGTTTTCCGGTTGTCTTTGCATTTGTGCTTTCTTTCATCGCACTGAGAAATGTCCTGAACTTCCGACACCAAACCCTCAGACCCCAAACCCTCAAACACTAAACCCTCAAGCCCTGAACACCATGAAGAGTCCCCCACTACAAACTTCGTTTCTGGAGTGCTTCGTGTCAGCTGAGGAACCATGGCCAGACCAACATCGAGTTGGCCATGGTGATAAGCAGCGTGGCTTTCTAGGGCTCCAGGGCCTCCGGGGTTCTGGGTACTAAGGGTGCTGTAGGGTTTAAGGTTCCGGGTTCAGGCATGGTGAAGTACTAGAGGTGCTGTAGGGTTTAAGGTTCTGGGTTCAGGGAGGCTTTTCACATCTTTTCACCAAGATGGGCTTCATCGGGAAGGTACTTGTTGCATATACACTTCGGCTTGGGGTGTACTCACGCCGTTCTTTCCAACATGTGCTGACTTCCAGCTGCCCAAACCGACCTAGATCCTCCGGGTACAAGCTGAGAAACTCGAAGCGCATGCCGAAGTGGTCAACAAGGTGTCAGCGCCCCCAAGCCTTTCCGGGGCCGAGGTAAGAAGCTCGCCGACCTGAACCTCCGGGATGCACAGGCAAGCTGCCTCGAGGACCCTTGCGGAGCTAACGTCTCGAGTAGGGTTGGTTTTCCCCAAGAAGAAACCCGGCCTCCTGAGTCGCGCCAATACTTGCGTCCTGGTTGTGGTGGTCTTTATGGTCGTCGCGGTGCTCTGTCATTGTTTGGGGATCTACGCTGGCGTACTTGTGTTTCAGGGTCCGGGGAGCTGAACCACTCAATGGCGCTACGATCCAAAAAGCTCTACACCCTAAACCCTAAAACCCCGAAAAGGACAAGCACATGATCGATCGGCTTGTAGCGGAGCGACCGGGTGGATTCGAGCAGATGAATGCCTACCTTACCCAGGACGGGGTCGATAGGCGTTCTGAGAGTATATAGGGGGGCCTTTCAATAACTACCAATACTATGTTGGGCGGCTCCTTCTTATAATTATTATAGTAGAATGGGCCCCAAACCCTATTCTACTTATTAGGGCCCCTATACTGGTTGAGGGTTTGCAAGGGCCAGCGGGTCATTGCTTGCTGCATGGGGATCAGGATGTTGAACGTCCGCTTCTGACGGCCCCGGTCAGTCTTTACAAGCTATCACCTACTCTTGCTGTGAGTCCTACCCTGAACCCTAAAGCCTAAACCCTAAACCCTAAACCTTAACACTTATTTCGACTTTCTTGCCGGAGGCCGTCAATGCCGCGTTGCAGGCCACGGCCTTGCGCTTTCAGGAGGAGACCAGGGGAGTTTGGGCTTCATGTAGGGGCCGAAATAATTACCTATATTGTTTTGGGGATTCCTTATTGTACTAATTATAGTATGATATACCCCAAAACCCATACTGTTTTAGGGATTCCTTGTTATACTAATTATAGTATAATATACCCCAAAACCCTTTTCTAATCAATAAACCCCTACATTCTGTCAGATTCCTGCCTTGCCCTGACCTCCTCCTGCCTACAGCTTAAGCTCCGAAGCGCGACCATTGAAGCCTAATCCTGGATTCTTTGAGAGATCCCAGGCCCCTGTATACTTACATGATACCACACACAGCGAAATCCTGTTCAATTATCCAGGCCCCTATATAAAGCCGCTGTAAGGCCGTATACAACCCTTTTACATACAGCCCAACTCTAGTTCTAAAGGCCCCAACCCTAAACCCTGAACCCCCCGCCGCAACCCTGTAAACCCTAAGCCCAACCCCCCCAACCCCAAACTCTAAACCCAACCCCCGCCCGCGCAAGCCTAAACCCTAAACCCCAAAACTCTAAACCCTAAACCCTAGACCCTAAAACCCTAAACCCTAAACCCTAGACCCAAAAACCCTAAACTCTAGACCCTAAAGCCTAAACCCTAAACCCCAACGCAGGACCTTCACCAGCTGCATGATCGCCTGGCCTCTCGCTCCGAGGGCTTCCGCCCGGAGGAGGGCCGCCCCGCTTTTTGCTTTTTTGGGGCTTTACGGCCTATTGGGTTTAGGGTTTAGGGGTTTAGGGTTTAGGGGTTTAGGGTTTAGTGGTTTAGGGGTTTAGGGTTTAGGGGTTTAGGGGATTAGGGGTTTAGGGTTTGGGGATTGGGATTCGCAGGGCTTTATGGCTTATTGGGTTTAGGCTTTCGGGATTGGGTTTCGTAGGGCTTTACTAGGGTGTTCGTTCGGGGTTTCGTCGGATGTGTGCGGCGTTTGATCGGGGTTCTGGTTTACACGGTTGTGTCGGGCGGGGGGTTGGAGAGTTTTAGACAGTGACAGGGTTGTAGTAAAGAAGTGTATAAACATATATATATATATATATAGACATATGTATGTATATATATATATATATGTATATATGTATATGGTTGTGGTGTTGTTAGGAGTGCAGCAGTCTGGTGGTACAGGGCTTGTAGGATTGTATGGCTGAGGGTTCAGGATGAAGACTGTGGCAAGAGAGCAGGCAATACTGGGAACATTGGTAAGAATCTCGGCTGCGTGATGGTAGTCAGGACGCTGCTGCTGAATCTGCTGACGGGGCGATGTCTAACATGCTGCTGACTTTGATGCGAAAGCTTTTGTCTACCGTTGCCACTACGACTAGCTGTCCTAGCTCTACCGACATACTGATATCAGGACAAGTAACAAAACCGACATGCTGGTAAGGGCGACAAATACGCGACCGAGAAGATGAGGTCATATGTACTCAGCCTCATGTCGCTCAACATGTTCATCACACCACCATCGTCATGATCACGTCGCAGGAGCCTGCCAGCCACGCCGCCTTCGAGTCTCGAGCAAGGACATGGACGGGGCTACTCGGGCGGCAGCGTGGCCCACCCGGCGATCGCAGCGAAGCATGCTTTGGGAAGCTATTGCAAACGGACCCATCAAAGCGTCCTCGCATAGATTGCATTGACAACAACACTGATTCAAAGGCAGCCTCCACAACACCAGAAGGTCTGCTAAACCTGTAGACCCTAGGCGCTCGAATGAAGATGTGCCAGCACTTTGCACAGTTTCTGTGGTGAGCTCGCATCGGCCGCCAAGCCTGTCCGGCTTGCGCTCCCTGTTGAGCTTCCCTTGGGTTCACGGCACTCGCCCCGCAGACGATCGCAGCCCTCTTCCCTTTTCTGAGTATGTCTCAACAATGCCGCGCCCTTGCTGCCTGCAGACTGTCACAAGGACCGACATTTTGAGACATGCAGCTGTAAAGAACGGGGAGGGGGCGTTGGGAGTTTTCACCTTGTGCTACATGTATGTTGCGGCCCATCCCCCAAAATTGGGGACGGTCTGTGGCAGCACCACTCAGTGTTACAGCGACTTAGAAGGATGAACACACCATACCAGATCTTGTATTATACACTAAGGAGGCAGAGCAAAGCTCGCATCTATGGCTTGCGTACAGTCAGAGCAATTAGTTTAGGGTCGGAGTGGCTGATCTTCAGCCGAATCCACCTCGTCCACTTGTGTACAGCCCCAAATGTCCTTCAGATCCGCAGTCAGAACGCTGCGGAGTGTAATTAGGCCTGCAGGTTTTGATGCTGGTGCATGGGTCTCGTCGCTGGCATTTAAGCTGGCGACCATGATGGCGTACAGGCACTTGCGGAAGCATCTTCAAACGCGGAAAGAGTCCCTCTGCCTTCCTAGCCCATGGGAGTTTGTGCAAGACGTGCGCGCAGACGCAATTCCCACGCGAGGCTATGATGCAGATGCCAACGACAAACCCACGAAGTACATCCCCGAATCCCACATCCCAGCTGGCAGCTCGGAGGTTTCACACGGTGGTGGAGTCATGCCTTGATTCGATGCCTTTGCCATGGGCCCTGGCCTACGAGCATAAGCAGCAGAGCGACAAACAGGCAAGCTGATGGATCCTGGCAAACTTCCGCAGTTCAGATGTTCAATCTGCACCTCAAAGCAATCGCTGCATATTGAAGACGTGTGAGCTGACTTGGCACGTTCTGCCACCCAGGTCTTCAAGCTCTTCCTTCGTGGCGACAAGCAGAATCCCATTGGCTTCAAGGGGCAGCGAAATCTGAAAGGTTGCAGCCTCAGCAGCAGCGCTTGCACCCGGATGCCAGATCCGAATTATTCATAGAGCCCATCAGTCCTATGAGCCCTAAAACTTGTGCAGACCCGAGTTCATCTAGAGCAGCTGCCTCTTCAAGGGTGCTGCAGAACAGGACGAATCTTGTACTGGCAATGAAGCAGGTCTTGGCACACATATCTGCGGTGTGTTCAGGCTTCCTTACGTTCCTCCGGCAACACACGAAGTTGGACATCCAGGAGCCATCTGCTTGTGTAACGTGAAGTGGAAATACAACTGAATGGTAGTAACTGACAATGGTATAGCACGATATGGTAACTGTTAGTCTTGTATAGTTATTTATGGGTATGTCGGTATTATATAACACATATACACATCTAGGTAAGCAGGTAGACGATGTGTGCATGTGTATACAGACATATACATACACACATATATATATATATATGTGTGTGTGTGTTGTCCCTCCCCTGTCAAATCTCAGGCTTGCGAAATGTAGTCACTGGTCACTGTTCCGCATCACAGCCGAATAGTGCCTGGACAGGTATGCTAGCTTCAGGGCCAGACCTAGCCAGTAGCTATGACGCACTTTACCAGACTATCGTGACCTTCAGGCCTTATGTACAGTAAGCGAACGCGTACGAAGCTTCACAGATCCTACTAAACAGTGTCAATTAAGAGAATCCTGCGAAACTCCTGGGCACCCCAAAATAAGCAAGAGCGTCTTGATTCGAAGCAGGATGCTTTGCGACTCCTTTACACCGACTACTGCGTCGACAATTCCATCGAGGACTTGTACAGGCTCGGACGACTTCACGAGCCAAGAAGAAACTGAAAACCCTAAACCCTAAACCCCTAAACCCCCAAACCCCTAAACCCTAAACCCCTAAACCCTAAACCCCTAAGCCACTAAATCCCTAAACCCTAAACCACTAAACCCTAAACCACTAAACCCTAAACCACTAAACCCTAGACCGCTAAACCCTAAACCCCTAAACCCCCAAACCCCCAAACCCCCAAACCATAAACCCCTAAACCCTAAACCCCTGAACCCCCAAACCCCTAAACTCTAAACCCTACACCACTAAACCACTAAACCACTAAACCGTAACCACTAAACCCTAAACCCCTACACCACTAAACCCTAAACCGTGGCTCAAGGCGGCTACTCTCAGCTCTGGTGGCTGCTCCCACGTTGCCACCGAACCTGCTGCGTCGGGACCTTTCGGGTTTGGGGTCGAAGGTTGAAGATTTGGGGTTTAGGGTTTAGGGGTTAGGGGTTTAGGGGTTTAGGGGTTTGGGGGTGTAGGGGTTTAGGGTTTAGGGGTTTAGGGTTTAGGGTTGAAGATTCGTGGTTTAGGGTTTAGGGGTTCAGGGTTTAGGTTTTAGGATGTGGGGGATCCGCCACTTGAAACCTGCAGCCGTACTTTCAGGTTCACTGGAGCCTGCTACAACTTGGGTAGGTCGAAGTTTGTTGTTTCAACGGGCTACTGCTTCCAGAAACCTCAGCATGCTGTTTATCAGCTAGGAATATCTGGCTGACGAGCTGTTGCGCAGGAGGATCCGTTTAACAACATACAGTCTTTTTTACGCTTTTGCCCGGGACTGATTGCGAAATTCGAAAGAGGAGCCCCTTCTTGCGGGCCTCTGGTCTCCAGTAGTACGTTAGGGCTCTGGAATGAGGGTTTTAGTTAAAGGACTATATAATTGACGGCGCCTTCGAAAAGGTTTTTCTGTAGTGTCTGGTTATCCACTCAAGTCTTCACTGCTTGCGGCGATGGAAAGTTAGCCGTTTTCAGGCTGGACCGAGCAGTACTTTATCGATCCAGAGCGCTTTATGCCATCTGCCGTGGGCTTAGCTTCTTCGTGCCTGCTGTGATACACGCTGTACTACTTCATTTCTACCGGAAACGTCTATCGTAAAATGTTGCCTTATGAAGGTTTCTGCATGAGAACACACGAATACATTTCGGTATACAATGTAAATTCTGTGAGCACCGCCGTCTGCTTTTTGATTTTCACATGAGTAGGCACAAGACTCTGTGTCACTCTATGGTCACCCGCTGCCGCATGCCCTGAAATTCGCATGGCATAGCATGTAGTATCGGATAGAACATAGTAGTGATTTCCTCAGCTGTATTTGATGACGACTTGCCTTTCTGAAGTGCGTGCATTCATGTAACGAATAGAACCGAATGTACGTTGCCATTCCTGTTGCACATGTCCAGGCGTAAACATCATGTGTTACATGTTGCTTCTCCTTCCTACAAGTAGCAGCAGACCTGTTGCTCAAGGCTTGGCAAGTGCTTTCAAGCCTCTCCTTCCAAGTCTGATCTCCTGAACTCGCTCTCGATCCTGAGCAGGAAGGGTCCCCAAGGGATGTGGGTTTAGGGTTTAGGGTCCCCAAGATCCCAGAAACCCATAGAGCCTAACAGCCCCCCCCCCCCATCCCTCCTTCCCGCAAATACTTGCCCTTCTTCCCACAAGGCCCATCATTCCAAGCCATACCCCAGAAACTTTTGTCCTAACTCCTGCACCTTAAACCCAAACCATACCGGAAAATGAAGATCCGACCACCATAAACCCTGTGCCGCTCATAGCTTTACCAGCCCAGGGCCCCGAGGATACACTGCGCCAGTGCCTGGATGCGGTCCCTTCTGCGCTTCTCCCAGAGGCCGGGCCTTAATCACTAGTGTGAGTACTATCAGATAGTATCAGCATGAGAGAAGTTCACGTGCAGACCTACAGAATTACATATACGCGTTTCGATCTAGAATGGTTGCCCCTAGAGGGCTTGAAGGTCAACTCATATGTCTTCTGCGAGGTCGTTAGGTTTCGCCTTGCCATGGTGCCTCGCGGCAGCTTCTCAACAATGCCCGAATGGCACTGTCTGCCTGTGTCTCTCTCTCTCTCTCTCCCCCGCGCGCTCGCTAACACTCTCTCCAACAGAAGTATACAGAAGTGACTGCATGTGCACGTGTCCGTATGTATGTAGGTAGGTAGGTAGGTAGGTAGGTAGGTAGGTAGGTAGGTAGGTATGTATGTCTGTATGTATGTATGTATGGATGGATGGACGGATGCCTGCATGGATGGATGGATGGATGCATGGATGGATGGATCTATCTCGGTCTGTGTGAGTGTGCGCGTGTTCGTGTGCGTGTGTACCTGCATACATGTATCAAGAAATGAGCCCGTTCAGAAAACATACACGTACGGAGGAGCCAACACCCGTCACGTACAGGCAGACAGATAGACAGAAAGACAGACAAGACCGACAGACAGGCCGACAGACGGACAAACAGGCAGGCAGGCAGACCACAGACCGGCATCCATGTTCATATGCGCACATGGATAGGAAAGGATAAAACAAGCAGATAACCAGCACCATGTGGACATCGACCTATCTGCCCGTTTATCTTCATTCGAGCTAACTGAAACGAACCTACATCGTTTTACACGTTCACACGTGCTTTTTTGAACATGTGCTCGTTGTATAGGGGCCTTAATAACTTGAATAGGGTTTGGGCCCCTTTAGAATACTTATAAAACAGGAACCCCCAAAACAGTATTGATAACTCTTTAGTCCCCTATATTACATGCAAATGCGCGACTTTTGTTGCAGGATCCTCTCTCAGTCAAACGAATTAGAGGTTTAGGGTTTAGGGTTTAGGCGTCGGAGGCATAGGGTTTTAGGGGCACGCTATGGTTTAGGGTTCAGGTTACGCAGCTCTCGACCCTAAACGCTACCTAGTGCGTGCGTAAATCCCGGGCATCAGTAGAAGTCCGTTTCACGCATCTGCCTCCTCACCTCGGGCTCCGCAGCTTCTTTCTCTTTCTCTTGTTCTCTCTCTCTCTCTCTCTGTAGGGTGTAGGGTTTACGGTTTAGGGTTTAGGCTTTAGGGTATAGGGTTTAGGGCTCTTTTGTGCTTAGGGTTTAGGGCTGTTTAAGCCTACATGGGGTGTCTCACAGAAGAGGAGACCCTCTCTCAAAATCTAAGTCATAAGGTCCATAGAATAAGAACCCCTACAGTCTAAGACATTTTCAGGTGGGTAGTTACCGTTATAGGAGCCTTATAGAAGGTCTATATACCTTATAAGAGCCTTATAGTAGCCCTATATACATTAAACTTCCCACCTGTAGTTTCCTTTAATCTAGGAATATAACCCAATATGAACCAGCCCCAAAGCCTTTCCCTGCGGGTCCAAGTACCTATGTTGGATTTAGGGTTTAGGGTTTAGGATCATCATCTACCTCGCAAATACCAACCTGCAAATTTACCATCCTAGACCCTATAAACCCTAAACCCTACAACCCTATATTATGTCCTTCAGAGCCTTTGAATCCTCGATATGGCCCTTTCAACCGCCCCTTTCAGAACCCATAGTTGGAAACCAAATAGCCTCAATCCTGAAGAGTAATGTATAAGGAATCCCAGCTCAATTTGTCCTTAATCCGATTTCCAAGTTTTGGGGTTTACTCTCGTCATTCCCTAAGACTCCAAGTATACAAATAATACCTACTTTGGGGCCTAAAGTCTATAAGTTAAATCCTTTAAGCCCAGTACCCTGGCCCAAAAAAGTTTAAACTTTTCTTTTAGTAGGGGTCGAATATACAAAAAAAGTTTAAAGTTTACCTATTGGGCTCCTATAAAATAGTACCTACTTTGGAGCTATTTGGAGCCTCAGGGATTCGGTCCTTTGGACCCTGACAAGGGCTCCGGCTCCAGGGTTACGCTTTTAGGGTTTTGGGGTTTAGGGTTTAGGGTTTAGGGTTTAGGGTTTAGGTTTTAGGGGTTGGGCCCGGAACCCCCTAAACCCTAAAAGTATGTAGAAAGATAGCATTTTATGGGAGTAGGGTTTAGGGTTTAGGGTTGAGGGGGTATGGGTTGGGCCCTAAACCCTAAACCGGGCTCGTATCATACCTACTTCGGGGGGTTCAGCAAGGGCCAGTTCTTAGGATCCCCCCCCGCCCCCCGCAACAAGACATTCCATGTTGCTGCGATTTGGGATTTAGGATTTCATGTGTTTTTTTGTTTTTTAATCTAAACCCTAAGCCCTAAACCCTAAATAAACCCTAAACCCTTATCCCTAGTATCCCTAACAGGATACCGCCAAGCACGTCTCAGAGCCGCGCCCGTCTTCCTAACAGTTACAATTACATATCGTCTTGTAATACGGTGCTCCCCAAAAAACAGAGCAGGGGGCACAACTATGGGGGCCCACCCTAAACCCTAAAACCCAAATCCAAATCTATGAGCCCACTTGGAGATGGCAGCGAGCGCAGACCCTGAAGTCGTGATCTTAAGGGCAAAGTAATGCAGAATGCTATTTTAAGGGTTCCTTATTCTAATAACTATAGATAATTATAGTGTATTGCGCCCCAAAACCACTGTTCGCTGCGTGGCTGCGGTTATTGGGAAATCATTCCGGCATGCCCTCAGATCTGGAAGGGTATGCCAACCACCGAAATTCTGTGAAGCAACATTGTGAAACGTCCGAAACCGTTGATTTACGGTTGTCTTGGAGCCCCTTCGGTCATGTGACTTGATACCCTTGCGGAATCCTGGAGGGATACCTCGCCGAACTACTACACAGTTTCTCTCTCTTCACACCCTGCGCGTCTGTCTATCCAAGCTGCCTGGTGTTCGTGATCCTACTCAGCTGTTAGCACAGTCAAAGTCATGTCCCCTTTTGATACTGGACCAGCGTCTACCAAAGTCATGCCCCCTGTT